TCGGTCCTTCAAACGTGGCGCCACACCTATTGTGGCAGCAAGCCAATAACGTGGAACGCTCGTTCATAAGCGCTGTTTCCCCACCAAACACGTTTCCCCATCGCATGCACGTACAAACTAGGATTGTAATGGGGTCCTATTTAGGTCATTGGGCATGTTTTTTCTGCTTTTTCCTTCACTATTGTTTTACTCTAAACCTTGTCCTTTTTATGCGAAGCCTAAATTCACTATCTAAGATGGCAAATGAGCGCGGGCTTTGTCTTTAAGTTAGTTGGTGACCCAGTTCTCATATAAACAGTTTTGTCAGGGGGAGAAAGAGAAACAGAAGAAAGAAAGACACCGTTGTAAAGACCAATCAGAAATAATATGTCGAGCATTTTGAACAATATTCATATCTTCTGGATCTTGTATCATTCGATATCATCGGCAAACTGTTTACAAATAACACCATTTTTCTCTAAAAGTGTGGGAAGTTCGGCAGTATAAATTGCAAAAAGAATGGGAGATAGGACACCTCCTTGAGGAACACCACTTTTAGCCTCTTTAATATTCGAGAAAACAGATCCTATTTTAACTTGGAATGTCCTTCCAGAAAGAAATTTCTCTAACCAGCGACAAATTAATGGATGAAACTTCAACAAACCAAGTTTGTACAAAAGCTTAGAGTGATCAACCTTATCGAAAGCTTTGGAGATCATAATAGATAATGCCACAAGACTTCTTTTTATCTAAGTAACTGCTCCAGTCATTGATACATTCCAACATATTTGTTTCTATAGACCTACCAGGAACAAATCCATGTTGATTAGGAGGAATGATTGCGTTAGTGTTAAGATAGTTTATAATGTGTTTTTTTCAGAACTTTCTCGAGGTCTGTAGCTATCAACAGACAGTGAGAGCGTTCTTTTTAAGTAGAAAAGTGATGAAAGAATGTTTCCATCTTAGCGGCACCTCCGAAAAACAAAATGGTTGGTCAAATATACATGCTGTCGGTCTGCAACAATATGAGAAATCTTTTTCATAAACATGGAAGGGATGAAATGGGGAGTAACCGACTGAGAGCAAGGTAACTTCCTCAAGAGATCAAAGACTGAAATACTATCAAACCAGGGGAAATCAGTCATTGGATTTGTGATTTCGGGAGAAAAATTTGGGAAGTGATAGTCTCTCTCAGAAAATACTTCACTGAACTTATCAGCTAATAAGTTAGCTTTCAAAATATTCAACGTAGCTACAACCCCATTTTTCTTAAGACAGGGGATTCGTCAGCCGCTTATTCAACCAACTATAAAATTCTTTCTTATTTCCACTCACTAGAATCCTTTTCTCTACATTTCTGTTATATTTTTTGAGCGACGATCAAATTTCTGAGAGAAATCTTGAAATTTCTGCCAGTCCTCTTCACGTTGGGAATTTAAAGCTACATAGAATAAACAAATACGATGGTTGTCCATATTTTCCAGATAGCGAGGAAGGAACGGACGAGAACTACATGTTCGTTTTACTGGAACGAATAAATCAATCGCATGATGATACTTACTAAAGAAGGTCGTCAGATCGAAGTGGCCATTTGTGATGATATGTGGCCCAATAGACGTGGCTTTAGACGTTGTTCTCAAATCTGCCTTTGAAATTGCAGAGCGATTCTCTGAACGGAGTTATGGAGCTTTTTCCACCGCGTTTACCACGCAACAGGTCGTGGGATCGGATCCCTGCTGAGCTTAACTTTTTTGCTTCTTGCGCAAACGTGGCAAAAAGTGGTTGTGGCGTCACTGCTACATTAGCGCTCTCCTTGACTTGCCTGAAAAACAGTTTGCGTTCCTGATATCTGAAAAGCAAATTCCGTCCAAAGACAAGCAATCGACAAGAGACTGGCCCTGGAACTATTGGTGACCATCATTCGATCAACTGCTACCGCACTTTTCAAAGTTAGGTCAAAACCTCACATCTGGCTAGAAACCTGTCCCCAAGGGTAGTTTTGCTCCCTGAACACGAATATGGCACCCATTTGGCGTTTGAGTTTTCTAGACTTTAAGAGACATTCCCCGCAAAATGCGACAGAAGTTCCCTTCTCGGCTATTCATGCGAATTGGCTGGCAACCGCGCGTGACTCCGTTTTCCTTCATTTTAATTCTAACAAACCTTCATAATTCCTTTCAGAGAATCGCTTCTGCAAATTTCGAAGGCAGATTCGAGATCAGCGTCCAAAACCACGTCTAGTGAGCTACATCTCATTACAAATGGCCACTTCGACCTGACGACCTTCCCTAGGTAGAAACATTTCGTATTTCTTGTTCACCGAAGACAAAGATTCAAAAGAATTAATCCATCCAATAGAGGAAAGATATTCTTGTAATCCTAGAAAAGTTACAATTTGAGAAGGTCTCTATAAACCATCAATTCCTGTTCCATGTATGAACTCGAAATAAAGAAGGATACACTACTATGGTCACTGTTACCAATGGGAGGACCAACTATTACATTACTCACCAGATTTGAGTCATTGGCTAAAATTAGGTCAAGAATATGTGTTCTCTTGTAGGCACTGTTACGTGCTGTTTAAAATCATGAAATTTCACAGAAACCATGAAAGTTTGCTGGGAGAAGAACGAGCCACCGTGTAGTTCACCCAGTCAATCTCAGGGTAATTAAAATCACCAAGAATCACTGTTGAGTACTCACATGTAGATAAATCACTAATTATGTTGAGAAGTTGAGCATTATGTTCTACAGAACAAGAAGGGGATCTGTACACAACAACAAACCTTCATTTTGGCGTCATCAAAAATGATGTCAACGCCTAAAATTTCATACCCATCTAGAACGGCATCGGAGAGAATCTCAATGTAACTAAATATATTGCGTATAAGGAGAAGTATTCCGCCTCCATGCTTTTTGTACCTGTCACAACGTAAGAAACTGTAATTAGAAGATGCCACGCCAAGTAGTAAAATCGTGCTGTGCATAGAATGAAGCCATGTTTCAGTAACTAATATAAGGCCGTAATTGCAGCGAAGTGCCGTGAATACAATACAAGAGAGTCACCGTTTTTAACAACTGATCGAACATCTGCTAATAAACACTTAGGCTGCGTTCATACCGTGCGACGAGTCGTCAACGTCGACGTAACCGACGATTTCGACGACTAGTTCGCGAAGAATATATATGTATCGATCCGACGTAACGGACGAAACCGACGAAAGCGACGATTTCGACGAAAGCGACGAAAGCGACGAAAGCGGCGAAAGCGACGAAACCGACGACTACTTCGCGAACATTAGATACGTATCGATTATCGAAAACGACGAAACTGACGATTTCGGCGACTGTGCCAAGAATTAGCTTTTCGTAGATGGTTTTTCCCCCACAACATTTTTCACATCTTATTTACATCCTTTTCTGTTTGTAAACAATTTCCCTATCTCCTTCCATCCTCTTGAGTGACCTTACAACCTATCTTCTTCATTTTCGAGAGAAATACCATGACATCGATTCCACGTGGCTTACGTGGAATCGATGTGGTTCCCAGTATATACAGTGTGCAGTACAACGTCATATTGCTGTTGTCTATTTTCATTTCATTTTATTTTTTCATATCATTCGACATATATTTGTTGTTCTCCGTGATCGTAATTAATTTTATTGTCTTTTTGGGTGCTAACGTATTTGGGGAACCACGCGGCGCGCGATGACTCATCCGCTCTTCTGCTCCCTCCTCTGCAAAATAGAAGTAATTTCATGTTTAGGGCATGGATTCAACACCGCCCTAAGGTGCCGTATTCAAAAGGTAAATCAGTTAAGTGATGAAAATCTTGTAGTCGTCGGTTTCGTCGCTTTCGTCGAAAACGTCGCTTTCGTCGGTTACGTCGACGTTGACGACGCCGTCGCACGGTATGAACGCAGCCTAAAGCCTGTATTGCAACCGGGGAGGAGTTATGGGTTTCCCTGTGAACTTGAATTCGTAGCAATATCTGTAGTAGATGTGATATGACTCCTATCAGATGAATTAACTTGCTGTATTTCATTTGTTGTGAGACTATTCCGTCGATTGGTAAGGTTTCCAATATTTGTTCTCGATCGAACAGAGCGGTTATTATTGGACAAACGAGCTTCATGTAGGCGATTTCTTTCTTCTTTGGACAGAGACTGACGAT